AATTATTAAAATTATTTTGTATGATACATCTCAAAGCATGGAACTGCACATAAACCTAGATCACATTTTTTACAATAAAAACGAGTTTCTTTTCTTATTCTCTTATCGTCACTGTTCTTACGGAAACAAAGCACCGTCTAGTCGGAAGATCCTTTTTAATCTGTAGCTGGCACATATGCTGGAAAATGGTTTCCCTCAAATCACAAAGGGCTTCAGTATTTCGATCCGGATGAATGATACTGGAAAAAAAAAAAAAAAAAAAAAAAAAAAAAACTTTTCTTCCGCTAATCGTTCCACTAATTTTAGGCGGAAATAAAGATCATCAAGTGATCCATCATTCTTTTTATATAATACAAAAGAGTTCCAGACAGCAAAGTCAAGAAAATGTCTAAATATTTTCTTATAATATTTCTTTTAATTGAGTAGTCTGCAATTGCTGCATCTATTCTGTCCAACACCAACCCATAGTATTGTTATATTCAATAACTGCCTTTGGTTTTTGGATGATTTCTTTTCTTTCAATTATTGGAACCATTTCGGTAGAATGAACTGTGCTTAGAATCGCAACTGGTCTTTTATCTTGCCATTTCATTATGAGAATCTTTCCCTTTTGAAAAGCTACCATTTCTCCCTTTTTAAATTTTTTGTTCTTTATTTCTGCAGGAACATCTATACGATTTATTCGTAGAGTTCCATATATGTCGGTTTTCCTCTTTATTAAAATTTCTGCTAAAAGGGGAGCATTGTAAAAGTTATCAACTATTTTCCGGTGTAAATTGTGAAATTTAACATGTAGTCAGAAGAAGATTCACATAAAATAAAACATTTAATGCCAAAGCGTGCTCTTTTAAATAGCTTCCATCCAAGTCTTCCTTTGAATATCAACAGAGACTCATCTACAGAGATGTCTCTTTCTGGAGTGTAAACTTCTTTGAATTTTTTTACAATAGCAGTGGCTAAAGTTTCAATTTTTTTAATGGGTTCCTCCTTTCTTCTTCATTATCATAATCTCTATTATTTGCAAAATGCAAAAACTTCAAAATTAAGCTGAATAGCTTATCACTCATAATTTTAGAGAAGTATGGAGTTTCAAGTGCAGGTATTTGTGACCAATAAATGCTCTCTCGGTGGTTTTCATGAATGCCTTCTAAAATCATCAAAGAGTAAAACAGAGCTATTTCTGATTTAGTGGTATCACTCCAAGATACGCAACTTGATTTTGGAGTTAGTTTGTTCCCATTTAGAAACTGAGCTGCATACAAATTGGTTTGGTTTACAATATATCGAATTAAATTATCATCAAAAAAACTTATGGAAATATTCCAGAGGATCTGCTGATGCTGAGCAGCAGATCCTCTGGAATATTTCCTGTTTCTTTATAGCTGGTTTCTCAGTAAACGGAAACCTCGGCGGAGCAGGAGGTGCCGAATCAGTGTTTATTTTCCACCAATTTCTTACCGTAGAAATATCCTCTATGGAAGAATCACTTTCAACGTCGGCTTCAGAAAAGAGATCTTTCATTTCACTTTGACTTGAAGACTGCATTAGTGAATTACTTGTAGAATGAATAATAACTTAAAATAAATTTTAGATAAAAATTCGTTAAAATCTTTATGAAGTACAACAGTAAAAATTACATACAAATTGAAAAGAAAAATAGCAAAAGCAATTGGCACAGTAGAATTCTAATGCAACTTCAGTTTTTGAAAATGAAAAAAAAAAAAAAAAAAAGGGGTGTGCTGTGAATAATTACTTCAGAAACTCGTATCAGATTGGATAATGGATAAGCGAAAATCCTATTTGTTGAAAATTCTCCTTTTTACGTACACAAACGTATACAAGCTAGGAACTACAAAACGAAAGAAAATATCCCTGTGTGGAATGACAACTCGCTGGAATCTTCCTTTTTTAGACTGCTGCAACATCTTAGACCCATAAAGTACACGAGGAAAACAAGTGTGTTATATATACATAGAGTAAAAGAAAAAATATGAAAGGTTTCAGATTTTAACTGTCACCTAAAATGGTTTGGTTAGGTTTTTTTGCTTCTGCTGAGCTCGCAGTTTACCTGTCTGCTGCACTTACTAACCCCTTCTTTTCCTTTTTTTAGCTTTATTATATTATTAAGCAGCGTTTTCTTCGCACTTATGCCATACACCATACAGCAACAAAATTACAAAAATTTCAAAACCTGTATATCAGTATATCTTTAGAATTCCTGATACCGTTTTAAGTGTTGGCATACATAGTACAGTCTATTAAACTCTACATATTTTTTGCTACACTTCAATTAAATTTATTTGATGGAATTATTCTAACTAAATTAAATTATCCCTCAAGGCTAGTTGAAAATGACACTAAAAGTTGCAAGTTTTCAAATTTAATATCCCGGCCAATTTTTGTCGTATGAGAGTCAAACTTACATTTTTTTTTTCATAACAAGTATACAAATTTCCCAAACATAAGTATTGGAAATGAGAGATCACACTAAAAGATAGATTTCATTATTTGTCAGGAAAAAAACAAAATACTTCTTGTGTTTTTATTTTTTCATGATGATATTTTATATTTCCAAATGTAAGAATAGGAACAGGGAGATCGCATTAAAAGTTAGATTTCGTTATTTGTAAAAAAGTTTTTTCTAAATTACACATTCCCCAAACATGAACATTTTTGTCATTTAAAACACTTTTGCAATTGGAAGTGTATGACTATGACCAACGGTTGCAAACATCAACACAGCTTAAGGGTAAGGATACACGTTTGGTATGGCCCATTGCAGTAAAAAAAGGGAGGTGAAAAATTAGATGTTATAGTAGTCCCATACAAAATTCAACTTCTAATCGTTCTTGAGTTATTTCAGATACATAAGTACCCACATACAGACCTTAAACTAAGAAATTCCTGAAGAAATCAAGATTAAAATAGAAAATTCTTTATTTATCTTACATGTATCATAAGGGTGTAGGTTAGGCTACTCAATATGACAGGGTATACGAGAGTTTGCCTGAGAGGAGGGGCGATTTCGAATTTTCTAATGGAAACTGGCTCGTATTTACGACACAAATGGCAATAATAATGCATATCTTTCATTTAGTGGGATGCATTGTATGTATACTTTATTGAAACTTACAAATATTTTGGTCCTTTGCAGATTTTATGGCAAAATACTTACTGGATACCTTGATATTATCAAACCACTTTGGTGCAATAAACAATTTTTTAAAGAATAAAAAGAATGGTAATTTCAAATTGGACTAATTTATTTATTTCATGCCATGCATGTTATTAGATATATATTTTAATTTTAGTTAGATATTTGTTCTGGAAAACAGTTTATAAAACTACTTACAAATAGTTTTTTGTTTCATCATTGCATTTATTCTGCATCTCTCTCGCATGTAACTATTCCAGTCTATAACAGCCTTACCCGCCATTTCTAACTCTTAAAAGCAAAATTTAACATTTCTTAATTCTTTACTCTTGTAGTATATAAATCTGTCTCCTGTAGGAAATGCAGACGACTACTCTCGAACCAAAATAGTAAATATTGTCGAAAGTGTTTTGCGCAGAATATAATTACATATTTAGGAAGGAACTGAAAGAAAATATACAGCTATCCAAATATCATATATTACTGTTGTGTCTTAAAATTCCCAAATCTTTAATGATGTAGCTTTCAGTTCAAAAGCAATATTGCAAAATAATATTAAAATGAGCATATCTTTAAAATTTTCAATACAGTCTCGCGCGCTGGAAATAAAAATGGTTTTCTTGTACAACGCTACCTTTGCTCGCTTTGAAAACCCTGAGTTTGTTAATCAAAAATTCGATAAAGTTTTACAAAATACAAAATCGATAATAAAACAAATTCCAAATTTGGGCTTCCACATGCCCATACTTGCAGGAGGATTACGTTGTTTAAAATTGGATGGCTCTAGGTATCGTTGTTTTATCACAATGAAATATACATACATTTATGCAGATTCTTCATTATTCAATTTCTTAAAATAAATTTCTTTCTTTAAACAGGGTGATAGCATTTGGTGGCAACAATTTTAAAAGTGAAACAACTCTTTTAGAGAATCAACGCAAAATGTCAAAACGAAATTAATAGAGCTTCTGGGCAAATTGCCCCTTTGGACTAATAAACATTTATAGTATGAGTTTTGAAAAATTAAATGTAACTTCAAAAATTTCAGTTCAACAATGTCATTTATAATTGGCGCAACATAGTCATAATGTAAATTAAAGCAAGTAATATTTCCCATCTGCGTAGGTAAAGTGATAAAACAAAATGCGTATATTAGGTATAATATTGCAATGTTCAGAGATGTTTCATAAAATAATACACAGATCACATCAGAGAATAATACACAGATCATATCCTCAAAGAATCGTTAGGAATTGAAAAGATAGCATTTAAAGCCTTTGTTCGTTAATAGAAAGGGAAAATCCTTTAGTTAATCTGCATGCAATGGTTTTAGAACTATCAATAATTTAAAAGTTAAGTGTCACTAAGCCTAATGTGGTGGATGTTTGTTTACATTTGAAGCTCTTAGTAGTATAGTGAACATGGAGAATAAAGTACTCTTTATTGTATATTTATTGATAGTGAATTAAGACAGTTGGTGCACTAGCTTCAGTGCCTTTTTCCCCAGTGGAACCAGAGAATTTTAAATGTTTATGCATAAAAAATTTTGTCTTTCTGCTCACTGGCCAAATTTCTTGGTTGGGAGCAGAAACTAATTTTAGTTGGGAAAACCGTTTTTCTTAAGCTGTTTATAACTGTAGTTGGGTGTTTTAGGTTTTTTTTTATTTTACTTTTATTTGATGCACAAACATTTTTATTTTACAATTTTTAATGGCGATGTTTTGTGTTTTTATGTATTTTTGCCTTGCCACGAAATGAGAACATAATTGATTGAATGAGAAATATATCTCTAATAAGTTTAAATGAAGTGCAGCAAAAAAATGTGTATAGTAGGCCATAAACGGAATTCATGTAGTATCACATTTAGTTTTTATTTTCATTATCAGGGTCCTGAAACCTGAAAGAAAATTCTTGAATTTTTTCTTCTTGATTCTTAGTATTTGTTTTTCGAATAAACACACCAGTTTTTGCATCTTTTACAGCAGATATGCTATTCTTTACTTCTGGAAAAAATTATATAAAAAGAGTTAACGAAAAAATAGAACTAAAACATACAGTAAAAATATTGACAACACAAGAATTAGAATAAACAAAGCCATGAATACTGATATTTTTTAAGAGGATACTATAAAAAAATTAAGAAACTAAGTATACAAATACACACGCAGAATTAAATATAACACATACAAAAAATACAAAGTATTATGATGCAAGTATCATCATTAAACTAAAAACAAATACAAGCAAATATCATCATTTGTGAAAATGGTTACAGGGGGAAACATCACAAGGGAAAATAAAGCAGACAGAAAACATTGCAGTTCTAAACTAATGTGATAAATAATAGAGCAGTGTTGAAAACTTCACAGTTTTAAAACGTTCCCATGCCAAATATGTCATGTAGTAAAAAAATACAGCCCCTGCAAATCATCCTATGATGATAACATTGCAGACATGCGTTTTCTCACCAGAAAAAAAAAATTTAAGTAAATTTTCATGCAATGATTTTTCAGCACAGGAAGAAAAAAATAATTTTAATGCTATATTTCATATTTTTGCATTAGCTAACAAATCAGTCATCATTAATATACATAGAAGAATGCTTCATGCCTTCTCAAATTTTAATAAGAATTTTTTTTTTTAAAGTTACAATTAAAAAACAATTTACACCAAACATTTTTAAAAAACCTACAATAACAGTAAAACAAATATTGATCTCATCAGTACATAAAAACATAGCTACCAAGCTTAAAATCAGAAAAATCCAGAGGATTTTTACACTTGCACTCCAATGCTATTTCAAAGGAGCATCAAACTGACTTTGTTTTATAATGCATGATTCAGGTTACTGAAATATTTGTAATATGATTCTGATGTAAAATACGTTAGCATTTAATTAGATATTCTAAATTTTCTTTGGCTAATTTTTTTTTTTTAACGCTTCTATACTGAGAAAATTCCAAGTAAGAAAGAAAAGTTTTTTATTTACCAAAGTACTTCTAAATACAGTCAAAAGTCGTTAATTCAGACACCCATAATCCGGAATGATCTATAATCCGGACCTCAAAGCTACAAACTTTCTGCGCATGCGTCACGATTGCGTTGTTCTTTAATCTTCGAATTGGATCCGGCTTATTATTTTTTGCACACTGTTACAGCAATTTTATAAAAGTAAGCTTGAACTTTCGATTATGTCAAATAGAATCTCCAATGCTGGAGCTCCCAAAGGATCTACAAAGTGAAAGTATGTTTCGATGTCCGTCAAACAAAAAGTGGAATTGCTGCAAAAAATGGATAAAGGCATATCCTTTATCCATTTTTTGCAAAAAAGAGAAAACAAAAATTTGTTTCTCTAACCATTCTGGAATCTGTTTATCAATTTCACGCTGCTCTGCGGTGAAGGGAGGGGGCAGCGTGCAATGAATTGGAAGTTGATCTGTCAGCACTATCCTTATCTTCAGGGCAGATGTTTTTATTTTATTTGGCTTATAATTCCTTACTAAATGTAGTATTTCATCTCGATGTACTTTGTCTTTGATATGATTTAAACCAAATTCCTCATCATTATAATTTGCTTTCGATAGTGAAGAAAGTGACACAGAGGTTATTGAAAACGAAAAAATTTTGATTGACAAATTAGTCGGTATTCTCGACACAGCAATTACGGGACTTGAACAGCAAAACTTCGTAACTGAACAAGAAATTGTCTGTTTATAGAATTAAAGAGAAAGTATTGTCACATAAAACGAAACAACTTATGTTGAAAAAATGTTTAACAATGTAAACAAATAAATATTAAGCTTTTTTTTGTAAATTTTGATACCCTTTAGATCATAATTGTTCTTTATTTCATAAATTACGGTTTAATGTTTTTAATTTTATAATTTCTGCATGCCATCTTACCAGATTTAAACTGATGAGCTATAATCCGGAAAAATCGATAATCCGGAATCGCCGAAGTCCCGACGAGTCCGGATTAACGACTTTTGACTGTACAGTGAAAATAAAATTTATAGTTAATGTACATAGTATTTGTGTATATATTAACTGAGTAAAAAATTGCTTGAATCTTCATACAAAAATCTACAAATCTCTATAGTAGTTTAAAGACAACTCACAGTAAATGAAATTTCATATGAACAATTCAATAAAATATCAAAAAGAAAAAATACAATTCAAATGAAACAAAACTTAATTAAAAAATTTATTTTGAAAATCACTAAGGAGAAGAGTGGGAAATGGAATTTGCTTGGGACAGTTTCATTAGTAAAAAAGGCTTAAAATTTAAAAGCCGGAAAATTCAGTGATCTAGGAGGTCCAGCAAAACCAAGACAGTTCACAGATATGTATAAGCCTTGTAGATAGATATACCATACAAATAACAAACTGAGCTTCTAAAAACTGAAAAAAGAGAAAACAAAAATAAGCAAATATTATTATATTGTTAATTGTATCTACAGTCAAAAGTCGTTAATCCGGACTCGTCGGGACTTCGGCGATTCAGGATTATCAATTTTTCCAGATTATAGATCATCAGTTTAAATCTGGTAAAATGGCATGCAGAAATTATAAAATTAAAAATATGAAACCGTAATTTACGAAATAAAGAACAATTATGATCTAAAGGGTATCAAAATTTACAAAAAAAAAGCTTAATATTTATTTGTTTACTTTATTAAACATTTCTTTCAATGTAAGTTGTTTAAGTTGCTTCGTTTTTTATGTTATAATACATTCTCTTTAATTCTATAAACATACATAATTTCTTGTTCAGTTACAAAGTTCCGCTGTTCAAGTAATATAATTGCTGTGTCGAGAATACCGACTAATTTATCAATCGAAATTTTTTCATTTTCAATAACCTCTGTTACTTTCTTCACTATCGGAAGCGAATTATAATGACGAGGCATTTGATTTAAATCATATCAAAGACGAGATGAAATACTACATTGAGTAAAAAATTATAAGCCAAATAAAATAAAAACATCTGCCCTTAAGATAAGGATAGTGCTGACAGATCAACTTCCAATTCAATGCACGACGCCACGGCGTTAAAGATAAACAAAGTTTAGATAAACAAAGAATATGCCTTTATCCATTTTTTGCAGCAATTCCACTTTTTGTTTAATGGACTCCGAAAGATACTTTCGCTTTGTATATCCTTTACATATTAGTAAATATATATAAGAAATTCTATTTGACATAATCGAAAGTTCAAGCTTACTTTTATAAAATTGCTCTAACAGTCTGCAAAAAAATAATAATCCGGATCCAATTCGAAGATTAAGGAACAACGCAATCTGCAATATTAACTGAAATAGATAATTAGATAATTTTAGCTTAGCTTATCCCGTCCGTTATACATTAAACGCGCATTCGTAAACGTATTTTGCGCACACGCAAATTCGCAGCGGTAAAGGTCTTACGCGCATGCGCAGAAAGTTTGTAGCTTTGAGGTCCGGATTATAGATCATTCCGGATTATGGGTGTCCGAATTAACGACTTTTGACTGTATAAGATCCCTGCACCTGCAATTTTGATGCTTGTCTGAACCATTGGGAAAAGGCAATATTTGTTACGCTCTTTGCATTACAAAAAATCTGAAGTAAGACAGTATGCTTGGCTAACAATACTAAAATATTTTCCTTCTCCTGTACGCTTGTTTTGCCAGAAATCAAAATATCTCATAGAAACTGCCTCAGTATGCTGTATAATAATTAGTCACACATTTCTTTACTCATTTGCCAAAATGAATGTTGAGCCATAGTTTCACTTTTCACCATTCTTCTTAAAAGCTAATTCTCTTTCAGTATCCAAGAAAAAAAGGTATTAACACGTTGAGGGCGGCATGTACCACTGGAGGTTCACACGCGAAAGGTTTAACTAGCAGCGTGTATCACCAGTGGCTCACATGCGAACGGTTTATCTGGTAGCATGTACCACCGGTGACTCACACGCGAATGGTTTATCTGGTGCTGTGTACCACTGGTGGCTCACACACAAATGGTTCATCTGGCAGCGTGTACAACCGGTAGCTCACATCAGCTATAGTTTTATAGCACAGTTTTGTTAGATGAAAAAAACTTTATGTGGTTAAAAATAACTTTTATATTGAAAATTGAAAAGCTTATTTTTACAAGTAGAATATAAGACTTAATGTATTTACATATTTGTTTTTGTGGGTTTATTAAAAACATTTTCGACATAAAGGTGTTCACTTTTGCAAAATCGGCAAAACACTGTAACCCTTTTCGATTTATTTGCAGCAATGTTCCTACCTCGTCGAACAGGTAAGGATTCATAACATTCACTGCATCATTTCTGCAACTTTCTCGAAGTTCCGGAACACTTCTCAAGAAAATGTGTAGTTCTTCTTTTAGGTGTTAGTGGTTCTGTAGGCATTTCATTCAGGAGCCAATCAATAAATATTTTCTCTAAATTTTAAAATACAGTCAAAAGTCGTTAATCCGGACTCGTCGGGACTTCGGCGATTCCGGATTATCGATTTTTCCGGATTATAGATCATCAGTTTAAATCTGGTAAGATGGCATGCAGAAATTACAAAATTAAAAATATGAAACCGTAATTTATGAAATAAAGAACAGTTATGATCTAAAGGGTATCAAAATTTACAAAAAGAAAAAGCTTAATATTTATTTGTTTACTTTATTAAACATTTCCTTCAATGTAAGTTGCTTCGTTTCATGTGATAATACTTTCTCTTTAATTCTATTAAACAGACGTAATTTCTTGTTTAGTTACAAAGTTCCGCTGTTCAAGTCCTATAATTGCTGTGTTGAGAATACCGACTAATTTGTCAATCGAAATGTTTTCGTTTTCAATAACCTCTGGGTCACTTTCTTCACTATCGGAAGCGAATTATAATGGCGAGGAACTTGATTTAAATCATATCAAAGACGGAGTATATCGAGATGAAATACTACACTTAGTACGGAATTATAAACCAAATAAAATAAAAACATCTGCTCTGAAGATAAGGATA